TTGATACATCATCATTCAAGCTATCATCACATTCAGATTCACCTGAGGGTATTCATCTTGTAGTTGACCTACCAATTGAGTCAAAACCTTTAAATACTCACCCCATGATTACTAGGTCCAAAGCCAAGCTTCTTAATTCTATGTTAGTCCTTTCTATCACTACCTCTTCTCACCTGGACAATAGTGAACCAGTAAGTGTAGCTGAAGCACTCTCTCATCCCTTTTAGAAAGCTACCATGGACAATGAATTTACTGCCTTACTCTCAAATAACACTTAGGAGCTTGTTCCAGCAGAATCTCATATGAATGTTGTAGGTTGCAAGTGGGTTTTTCGAATTAAACACAACTCATATGGTTCTATTCAAAGATATAAAGCCCGATTAGTTGCTAAGGGCTTCCAACAAACTCCGGGAATTGATTATCTTGAGACTTTTAGTCCTGTCATCAAATCCTCCACAATTAGAGTTGTACTTAGCCTAGCTGTCACCTATGGATGGGACATCTAACAAGTTGATATCAACGATGCCTTTTTGAATGGAGAACTTAGTGAAACAGTGTATATGACTCAACCTACTGGATTTATTGATCCTGCCAAACCACTCCATGTGTGCAAATTGGTCAAGGCTCTATACGGACTAAAACAGGCTCCGAAAGCCTGGTTTGGAAAACTCAAAACTGCATTTTTGAAGTGGGGATTTGTTAGTTTAGTAGCTGATCCAAGTCTGTTTATTTACAAACTCAATACTCTGGTGGTTTATGTATTAGTCTATGTGGATGATATTCTCTTAACTGGAAGTAGTTCCCAATTAGTTCAAGAAATAGTGCACAAGCTAAAGGATGAATTTGCCTTGAAGACCTTGGGATCCCTTAAATATTTTCTGGGTTTTGAGGTATTTAGCTCAGCCTCCAGTATCCATATGTGCCAAGAAAAATATGCCAAGGATTTGTTGGTAAAAACTGGCATGATGGACTCTAATCCTTGCTCTACTCCTATGGTGTTAGGAAACAAACTAACCCTTGAAGACAGTGACCTATTTGATAAACCATCCCTGTATAGAAGTACATTGGGGCCCTGCAGTATTTGACTTTGTCCAGACCTGATATTGCCTATTCAATTAACAAGTTGAGTCAATTTCTCAAGGCTCCTACTCAATTACATTGGCAAGCTTGCAAGAGATTGTTAAGATACCTTAAAGGCACAACCAGCTTTGGGATTCAGTTTCATAGAATTCACAGATTCAGTCTAGAGTGCTTCACTAATGCAGATTGGGTAGGAAATATTCAAGATCGCAGGTCAACCAGTGGTTGCTGCATATTTCTTGGGCCTAATCTCCTTCAATGGAGTGCTAGAAAGCAGAAGGTAGTGGCTTTGTCCTCCACAGAAGCAGAATACAAAGCTCTTGCTCAAGGAGCTACAGAAATAGCATGGTTCAAAAGTCTATTTTCTGAAATGCACTTAAGTCTCCTTACTATACCGATTGTGTGGTGTGATAATTAGAGTGCTAGATCTCTTGCCTCAAATCCAGTATTTCATGCTAGGACCAAGCATATTGAGCTGGATATTCACTACATCAGGGAACAAGTTATTGCTAACAACTTAAAAGTCCAATATGTTCCAATTGAGCACCAAAAAGCAGACATCTTCACCAAATCACTGTCAGCCTCACGATTTGAAATTGTTAGAGAAAAACTGACAATAGCTGCTTCTCCTGTGAAAGCTAATGTGAAAGCTAATGTTCAATCGAGTAACTCTGAAAAAGAAACTACAGTTATTAGAGGAGAAGGAACTGTAGTGGTTAAAGAAGAAGTGATAGTGTTCTAAAGTATTCTGATGATCTTTAGTTACTAAGTTGAAAAATTGTAGTGATTAGAGAAGATGTGATATTGTTCCAAATGGTTTGTACTGATCTGTGCTCTGCTGGTGCTCGACTGTGCTCTACTGGTTTTTCCTTTTGGTTAATTGTTCTGCTAATTTTCTTGTGATTGGATGTATCAAGTGCTCTGCTGGTTGGTTGCCATTACAGAGAAGAAATGGCTGATATGTGTGGTGTGTAAAAGAATTGCTTTGATATGGTGTATATTGCAGGTGTTGAATAATACTGCTTGAATGTTGCATTAGTACTCGGCTGGTGACTGTTACTCCAATGCAGAAATGTACTGATATGTGTGATGTGCAATTTTGATTCTACTTGTATTAAGTGCTCTGCTGGTTGGTGCTCTGCTAGTTGGTGCCTCTACAGAGAAGAAATGACTGATATGTGTGGTGTGTAATTGCTTGAATAATAATGCTTGCAGGTGTTGAATGATAATGCTTTGAGCAGGTGTATACTGTTAGTTGTAGTAAGTGTGCAGAAAAACAATCTGGAAGTTGATAAGTGAGCAGTTGAATGATAATGCTTTGATGATCTGGTGTGTATTGCAGGTGTATACTGCTAGTTGTAGTAAGTGTGTAGAAAAACAATCTGGAAGTTGATAAGTGAACAGTTGGATGATAATGCCTTGATGATGTGGTGTGTATTGCAGGTGTATACTATCAGTGTAGTTGTTGTGCGGAAAAACAACCTGGAAGTGATAAATGGGCAAAACTCCCAGTTTAGTTTACGGGAGGATGTTAAGTTAGTTAACTAAGTAAGCAATGAGAACTCCCAGTTTAGTTTACGGGAGGATGTTAATGAAAAAGGAAAATGTGTTTAGTTATTAATCTGTCATAGTTAGGATTGTTCAGTTACTAAGTTGTTAGCAATCTGTTACAACAGTTAGATTTAGTTACACTTCAATGCTTTTGTTAACAGAGCACTATAAAAGTGCTACCTACTGTACAGTTATTTTTAAGCTGAATAATAATACAATTCACGTGAGCTTCTTTGACTTTCCTTTTCACTTTACTTTTTCTTTTCTTCTCTCAAGCTTAGTTCAAGAACTGTTAATCTTGTATAGCTTTTAATTATTTGTCTTTGTTGAATTTTTAGGCAGTGTACACGACTAGATGGAAGAGAATTGCAAAGGAAAGACAAAAACATACCAAAACCAAGATACTAACGTGTCTTCCAGTCCCTCAAACCATTAATAAGAGTGGTCATTGAGACTCTTACTCAACTGATATACCCCGATGATTAAAAAAGAAATACTAATGTGTCTTAGGTCTTAGACCATTAATATATATATATTGATTGTAGAAATCTAGTTTTCTAGTTTAATAAACCTATTCTCTCTCCAATTTTACTAAATTATTTACTTCAAATTCTTTAATTTTATTACATTAAATTATTTATATTTAATTTTAACAGTGTTATTTAGTTGCTATTTTCTTTTAATCAACATTCCTTACTAAAAATTCGAATCTTCATTGATTTTCCTTAGCTTTGAAATTGTCAGAGATTAAACTAAGCTTATTTAAGTTTATTAAAAGTCTAGTTTATTTAGACTTGTGAAAATAGAACTTGTTATAGTTTATGATAAAATTTAGTATTAAGGTTTGTAGTTTAAACAGAATTAAGGTTTGGCTCCTATGTTTGGGAGTTTTTATTGTGAGCTTGAGTTGGTATCATGTTATTGTTATTGATGTTTAATATGAGAAAGAGTTTTTATAATATTTTCCGCAAATTTATGCATTTATACAAATTATGTTATGTTTGAGGAGTGATTATAGTATTTTATTATAAGACCTTAGAAGGAAGAGATTTAGAAATGACAGATGATATCTTTAAAAATATATGAGTATTCTTAATAAAAAAAGGAGTGATCTATGTCACATGCCTTATTGCTTGGTTGCAGATGCAACATATGCATAATAATTTATTTATTTTTTAAATACACTGAATAAATGATAATATTGTAATTAAAAAAGATAAATTACAATAGCATTATGTTTTTATTTGGGTTAATTTTACCCACCTCTAAGAACTTGTTAAATGTCAAACGCCCTAATAATTTTTTAAAGCTATTAAGTACCCCTTATTGTGGGATTTTTTACCATTGAGCTTTTTAATATTTGTAATAGATTTTTTTTTTTTTTTTTTGGTTATTTTGGTGGGTTTTTTAGTAATTTCAAAATAAAATATTTAGTAGGTATTGAAAATCATTAAGTGTCTAAGATTTGACAATATTTAAAGGGACGGATGAAATTATCCTTTTTATTTTGCTTAACATCAATAAACCAAGTGTATAGAATTTTTTGGACTTCCATCATGAAGATTACTTTCTTTTACATATAGCACAAGACCTAATGTTTTTATTTAATTTTTACCTAAAAAATATAAATTCAAAAACATTTTAGTAAACAGGGATGAGTGAAAACATTAAAAGAAATAAAAATTTCACAGACTCTAAAATTGGTTTATGTTATTGACACCCATGATTTTTAGAAAGTATCATAAATCCCGTAACAAGTTTTCTATTTTTGTATTTTGATCGGAGATTTTGATAATAAAATTATCTATTAGAGGGATTTATAATATTTTCAAAACTTACGAGTATATATAAAATTTAAGTCATATTTTAAAAGTGGTCATATTAGAAATATAATATTGGATGTACAAATTCTTTTATGAGATAATTAGTTTAAAAAAACCATTTTTTTAGGAGTCAAATTGAAATATGACCTCTTTTTTGGAGTGAAAGTTTATAATTTTTATTTTATTTCTTATCTTTATAAAGTTAAAAAAAATCATAGATAAATTTATTATTCTTTTAAAAAAAATTATATTTTATCTCTTATTTCTTAAAAATATGACTAGTTAATTTATTTGTTAGTTTAAAAATAATTTAATATTTAATTTTTAACGCTAATTTGGGAAATAATTAGAAAAAATAATTGGTTTATAATAAACGGTTAGATTGGAGGTATAAAAATTGTGAAGGGTAAAAATAGAAAAAACAAATAGATGAAATATTTTGTCTACATCAATTACAAAAAGATAGATTGTAATTTAGAAAAAAAAAAAGACTTTTTAAATAGTTTTTCATATAATAAAATAAAATATATAGAAAATCCACCTTCTCTTTTCTATTTATGACCGTAAATTCTCATCTCTGACGCAAACTCTTTATCTTCTCTCTGTCTCTGTTTCTCGTCTCAAGTAAGTAATCTAACAGACCAATTTTTAATTTATTTATTTATTTTTATTTAAAAATATAATCTTTAATTACTTGCTTTGCTATTTCATGTCGAATTGGTTGATTTCGATTTTGATCAGACTTTAATATTTCCCCAATTTAGTTGACTCGTTTATATCAATTATTTATTATGAACAAACGTGCTCTCACGTTAATAATAATTTCTTTTATTCACATAAATTAAATAATTGGAGTAGTCGTCATTCGAATTTTGTTATTTTTGCTGTTCAAATCTATTTATGATCGTTTTACAGTACCGGAAAAAATTCTCATTATTGTTACTGTGTCTGTACTCTAGGTTAGGGTTTGTGGGGATCGTGAACTAGGACTGAATTTAAATGTTGTTTTTATACCTTAATTTTACAAATTTTTGTAAACAAACTGATCATTGATGAAGCATGCAATGAACGGAATAGGTTAGACTAAGAAGGTCAATGTAATTGTTGAGGATGAATTGTGTTGTGCAATGCTACCACGGATTGTATGTTTAGTTTGTTAGTGCAGTATTCCGTTAGATATGGATAAGAAGGTAGTTGGAATAGTGAATTTTGGTGTTAACTTGGATTGCGGCTAGAAGAAAATCATGGGTTGCAATGATTGATCGAAAGTGCTTTTAATATTTTTTGGATTGCAGGTGAAGTAATTTAATCTTTTACATAATGGGTGGAAGTGCGATAGATAGTTTGATGGATGATGATTGGGAGCTCCCTTCCCTATCTAGTGGAGAACAGTCTGTGGCCAGTGGAGAACGGACTGTGGTTTTAGTTGGGCATACTGGCAATGGAAAAAGTGCCACCGGGAATAGCATTCTTGGAAGAAGGGCTTTTAAGTCCAGGGCTAGTTCATCTGGTGTTACTAGTACTTGCGAATTGCAAAGAACTGAACTCAAAGATGGCCAGATCATTAATGTTATTGATACTCCTCGTATGGTAACTTGGATTTGATTGTACAGTTTACAAATTTTATCTTGTATCTGAAATTTGTTCATCAAATAAACTAATGTGATGAGTCATTGCAGGACTCTTTGATTTTTCTGCTGAATCTGAATTTATTGGGAAAGAAATTGTCAAATGTATTAAATTGGCGAAGGATGGTATCCATGCAGTCCTTGTAGTTTTTTCAGTGAGAACCCGTTTTTCACAAGAAGAACAAGCTGCGCTACGCAGCTTGCAGACTTTGTTTGGAAGCAAAATTATAGACTACATGATTGTAGTCTTCACCGGTGGGGATGAACTTGAAGATAATGAGGAAACATTAGAAGACTATTTGGGTCGTGACTGTCCAGATCCTTTAAAGGTTTCTTTTTTAACTTAAGTTTGATTTATTAGCCGTGTTGTTTATTTTCTTAAAGGTCTTTGTTTTGAGTGAATTTATTTGTGAAGTTCTAGGGTCCTCTAAGGTTGGAACTCCCTCTACTATCATGGATCTTTAACTTTATATAGGATTTAGCAATCCAGTCTTAGTCACTGGATCTATGTTTTCCATACATTGACTAGTTTGCTGGTGAGGGACCAGTATTTGCTACATAATTGCAATTAGTGTTACAAGATTAAACTTTCTTTAAAGCCCGTACAGATCTGTCCTCATGATTGGTTTTTATTCTTTCTTCCCTTTCAGTTGTCTTTAATATTAGCGAGAGATTTTTTTGGTGGCAACAATGCTAACACATTTGCCCCAACATTTACTTGATGATTTCTACTTCTTACTTTTCTAACTTGATAAATGATTTACCCAAGCTCAATCTTTAGTTGCATAAATAATTTGAGCAGATGGGTAAAATTTTCTTCTAGCCCTTACCTTGCAGTCAACAAAAGGGATTTATCCTTTGCTCATTTTACTTTTTATCATTTATAGGAATCAAAATTGGCTTCTATAAATACTGCAATAAATTGTCAAGTTTGTTGATGCTCAAGAAAATGCCATCCTGTGTCTACAAATTGAGGCTTTTGCTTGAGCTTTTTGTAAAATTATCACATTATTTCATGCTTTGTTATATAATGTAAGGAATCTTACCTTATGATTTAAAGTTACTAATTTAGAGCCACTTAGTTTGAGAAGGAAACTTTTTCATCATGTTGTAATGAGTAGGCTTGTCATTTTCTCTAGTGATTTGGTTCTGGTTTTGTTTACTTTTCTAATGTATTTTGTATGACTTGCTTTTGAGGTCTTGAAATACAGGAAGTAGGCATTTTGATAGGACCTGACTTGCAAATCAACCAATACTACCAACAATATCAAGAAAACGATGAACGAAAGATTGGCTTCGAGGGTCAACCACCTCCACAAATATTGACTTCGAGGGTCAGTTGCCTCCCTTCCAATTTCCTTTTTAATTATGAATCCCCTTCCTTTTTCTCTCCTCCTCTTTTTATTCTCACCTATCACCTTTTTGCTCTAACCGAATTCCACCTACATCCTATCCTATCATGCCATCTGTCCTCCCTAACAAATTCCAACTTCCTACATAACAAATATTCAGCAATATTCCTCTACTTCTTACCATTACCCTTCTTGCGGTACACCAGCGCTTTTAGTTGCTCATCATTACCCTCCCAAAGGAGAACCACCTTGTCCTCAAGGTGGAAAGAAGGAAATTGGTGGTGAATAATGTCAAAATCCTCCCATGTGTTTTCATAGGAAGGTAAGCCTTTCTATTGAATCAGCACCTCTCACTGTCCATTCAGAAGTTTCCTTTTCTTGAAGACTGCTTTAGGTTCAAGTTGTAAAATTAAATCCTCGTTAAGGGCTGCCGGTAGAGGCTGGCTATTGGGGATTGGGAACGTTGCTTTCTTCAGTTGTGAAACATGGAAAACGTTGTGAATATAAACTGAAGAAGGTAGTGCCAACCTGTATGCCATGGCTCCAATTTTGTCCATGATTACAAAAGGACCGTAAAATCGCGGGCTCAGCTTCTCATTATAACGACGGGCTAAGGATCGTAATCTGTATGGTTGTAACTTCAAATATACAGATTCTCCTATCTCAAATGTCACCTCTCGGCAATAGCGATCACCATACGTCTTCATGCGGTTTTGAGTCTTGATAAGATTTGCCTTTAACTCCTCAATGATGTGGTTTCGTTATTGAAGTTGCTGGTCAACTTCAATAACTGGATAAGTATGGTCCGCATGGTGTAACACTGTTGGAGGTTCACGGCCGTAGAAAGCCTTAAATGGACACATTCCTATAGAGCTATAATAGGTGGTGTTGAACCAAAATTCTACCCATGGAACCCATTTTGGCCACTATTATGGGTGGCTACTGACAAAGCAACTGAGGTATGTCTCTAAGCAACGGTTTACCACTTTTGTTTGACCATTCGTCTACAGATGGTAGGCTGAACTCATGTGCAAATGGGTCCCGGGCTGTTTAAATAATTCGGCCCAGAAGTTGCTCATGAAAATCCTATCTCGATCAGAAATAATGGTTCGGGGAAACCCATGCAACCTAACCACTTCTTTGATAAACAGGTCTGCTACCACTTTGGCTGTATACGAGTGTTTAAGAGTGACAAAATGGCTATATTTTGTCAATCGATCAACCACGTCCAGAATAATATCAACCCCATTCGCTTTGGGCAGCCCCATAATGAAATCCATAGAGACATCATCCCACACTTGGTTAGGAATATGTAATGGTTGCAGCAAACCTGCTGGACTTAATGCGTCGTATTTATTTGGTTGATAGATACGGCAAGCAGCTACAAATGCCTTGATATCTTTCTTCATTCCCATCCAAAACACCACATTCGAGATTCGCTTGTATGTCCGAAAAAATCCAGAATGGCCCCCAATAGGTGAAGTATGAAATTCCTGTAATGTCTTGTGGATGTGAGGCCCCGATTTAGGTAACACTAACCTGTTATGGTACAGCAGATGGCGTCCCACCAAGCTAAAATAAGAGTGACTGTTCGGGTCAATCAGGAGCTGTTGTATAATCCTTTGTAACTCGGCATCTTGCTGGATTGCATCCTCTAAACTGTCTAGTCCAGAAAAACAACCCATAGAAATAGCATGATGCTCGACTGTATCAGGCATCCTGGAAAGAGCATCTACTACTTTATTTTGTGGTCCCGATTTATATTGAATGATGAAATCCAGTCCCAACAGTTTGATAACCCACTTTTGTTGACTTTCACTTAATAATTTCTGGTTAGTTAAGAAATGGAGACTCTGTTGATCTGTCCAGATAACAAAACGTCTTCCCAAGAGGTAATGTCGCCATTTTTGCACAACCAAAACTATAGCCATTAATTCCCGCTCATAGACCGATTTCAATTTGGAATTGATAGACAAACCTTTGCTAAGAAATGCAATAGGCCGCCCCTCTTGCATCAACACAGCCCCTAACCCGTTTCCCGAAGCATCGGTCTCTATAATAAATTCTTGAGTGAAATTTGGCATCCGTAGGACAGGGACACTCGTCATGATTCTTTTTAACTCTTCGAAGGCCCGTTGAGCTGCTGTATTCCATACAAAAGAGTCATTTTTTAAAAAGGCAGTGAGTAAAAGAGCTATCTTACCATAATCGTGAACAAAACGGCGGTAGTAGCCTGTCAGCCCAAGAAATCCTATGAGTGCTCTGATGTCCCTTGGTTCTGGCCATTTAGTGATGTTGTCTATTTTGGAGGGATCAACTGCCACACCCTTAGCTGACACTACATGTCCCAGATATTCTAATTGGAGTTGCCCGAATTGAAACTTCTTCTGATTTACCATCAACTGATTCTCCAATAATACCTGCAAAATAATGCTTAAATGCTTCGCATGTTCATCCATCTCCCTATTATAAATCAGTATATCACCGAAGAACAACAACAAAATTTTTCTCAAATACGGCCTGAATACATCATTCATGACTACTTGAAAAGTTGTCGGTGCATTGGTAAGGCCGAAAGGCATTACGAGAAATTCATAGTGCCCTTCGTGTGTCCGAAAAGCAGTCTTGTGTGTGTCTTCTGGTTTCACTCTGATTTGATGATATCCAGATTTCAAATCGAGTTTCGAAAATACTGTTGCCCCTTCTAACAATTTGTCGATAGTGGGAATCGAAAATTTATCCAGAATTGTCACCTTGTTAACTACCCGATAATCTACACAGAATCGCCACCCTCTATCCTTCTTTTTCACCAATAAAACAGGGCTGGAGAACGGGTTGATGCTTGGTTTTATAATTCCTGAAGCCAACATTTCCTTGACAATACGCTCTATCTCATTTTTCTAATAGTAAGGGTACCAGTATGGTCTGAGGTTTGGTGGCTGTGTTCTAGAAACTAACTGAATAGCATGGTCTTTTGACCTGGCAGGTGGTAACCCGGGGAGTGGCTTGAAGACTTGGCTAAACTTTCCCAAAACCTCCAGCAGTCTATCATCGATACTCCCAATTTTTTTCACACTGAGTCTGTATCTGCCCAAACTCGATCAAACAGCCTTGCCCTTCACTCTGTAATGCCTTAATCATCGCCTTGAGGGATACCATGGTTTTGCTAAGAGATGGATCCCCATATAGACAGACTGTCTGGTTTCCCAATGTGAACCTCATAGTTTGTTTTCTCCAATCCGTAATGGTCTCGCCCAAAGTCTCAAGCCATGCAATGCCCAGAACTACGTCAGAACTGCTCATATCAAATGGGAAAAAATTTTGAACAATCGTCACCCCTTGTAACTCCATGCACACGTCCCTACATTCTCCTTCACACCTCACATTATACCGATCACCTACTTTGACCCCGAAGGACTGAGTCCCTAACACTGGTATTCCCAATCGTTCAGCCACCTTTGACCTAATAAAATTGTGGGAAGCCCCACTATCAATCAACACAATCAATTCCTCACCTTGGATTCTTCGTTTGAGTTTCATTGTCTTTGGACCCTGAATCCCCACCACTAAACTAAGAGAAAGCTCAACATTTTCCTGCTGTTGCTCTGTTTCAGTTTTGACAGTTTCTCCACCCTCAATCGGATTTGGGTCATCTTCTTCTTCATCAATCAAGATGATTTGAAATTGTTTCTCACCACATTTATTCTCAATCGAGTACTTTCTGTCGCACTTAAAACAGATTCCCTTCTCTCTTTTCCTCTGGATCTCGGCATCTGTCATTCGACGAAAGGGAAACTCTCATCGTTGAAAATGTTGTAGTTCGAATGGTCGGAAAGTCGTCGTCGTCGATGGTTCGCTCGTGGAGGAATTCTTCAACGATCCCTGCATGGAAGATTCCGGTGTTCGTCGACTGAAATGGGAAAGGGAGTTGGAGTTAGATTTTAGGGATTCGATTGAGTTGGGAAATTTGGGATTAAT